AAATATCAAAAGAAAAATTTTTTATGAAAAATTTAATAAGCAATTTTATTTCTGCATATAATTGCACTCACACACACACTTTCAAGCAGTAATACATACGCAATGGTGCATGTGTAAACAACTCAATCATAAACGTCAAATTCTGTGAATGTAAATGTCAAATGGATTGACATGCCGCAGCTGTGGGCAGATGAACATAAAATACATTATATTTGAAAATACACAAAATTATGCACAGTTATGCTTTGCGCACACATTTTCACAAGCGTGTGCGTGTGTGTGTGTTAGAAAGTTTCTGTAAAAATCAAAGACGGCGTATTTATTTATTTATTTATAGCAGGTTTTTATCGGTTGCCAGCGCAATATGAAATTATTTCAGCCAACTCAATTACGCTCACATATAAACACACATGTATGTATGTACATGTCAGATTTTTCGAAATATCTGAGAGAGTATGAAACGAAATGAATCACAATAAGATCGACAGCATTGGCGTATTCCGACTATTGACTTTAACACAGACTGTAGTTCGGAGTCAATACTCCTTGGCTAATAATGAAATGTTTATAATTTTAAAATCATGAATGAACTAGGGCTAAATACGAGCTACTAAGTAACTACTTATTATTCAGTCTTTCAGGTCAAAATTTTTGACGCTACTAAATGTGCCAAGTGGGTTTCTGCTCTAACCAGCAAGTTCATAAACCTTCTAGTGGACAGCCAAGCAGCAATTAAAGCTATCTATAGTGCCGATAGAAAGTCTCATTCAGTAGGCAATAATTAAACTCTCTGTAGGTGATTCCGAATCATAACAAAGCGAAAAGACAAAGTTGGGCCACTCGAGCGAAGCTTCGAACACAACTCCTCTAAGCTGCCCGAAACCATTCAGCTCCTTCAAGGGTTTCTTGAAGCAATGGACTCTAGAGGAACAGCTCTGGTCTCAAAGCACTAGCAACACCGAACATATCACAAAGCATCTGTTGGGTTTGGGTGTTCATGGTGGACATAGCAAAACTACTACTTCTTTTAAACAAAACTGAACGTAGTAATATTGTAGGGGTCATCACCTAACTTTAAGATCCGCACCTTTACGAAACTGGAAATTGGTTTTGTGGGTTGAAAAAAATTTGGTATTTTACCAAATCCCCAAAATTGTTGTATAAGGCTTAATTTAGTTACCACCTGAGAATTATCTAACTTATACCACTTTTTCTTTCGATGAGACGAATAATGTATATTTTTTAACCATGCAATGAATACCTTCAGGATTGTGGAATATGTTTTCCTTTCGACATCAAGGTCTTGATTGAAAGGTTTTTCAGGAGTTAAAATTTGACAACTAATCTCAATATTTAGATCTCTAGCCTTGTGGCTTATGCTTTCATTCCATCACCATGCTTTAGAAATCTTTTTCTCCAACATGTTTTTGGATCCAGATTCAGTCTGTGATTAACCCGAGTTATTTGGACAAATTTGAACCGCTAACGATCTAATAAAAAAAAAAAAAACTCGAGAATTCTCATTAGTAACATTGCCGAAAGTGTGAGAAATATTATTTAAATACGATAAACCTGAATTAAACAAAAAATTGCAGATTAATTACCGCCAAAAAATATTCAAATCTGCGAAGTTGTTCGATTCATCGCTTGTCTAATTTTCAAATTTGAGCTCTAATCGATTTTGTTTAAGAGTTTGCTTTGCATTTGCATGAAAGCAAGAAGACACTCAGCTGCTTTAATTTATAATATAGGAAGAATTGTAGATTTAATGAGTTTGGCTATTTAACTCCTCTTGATTTGGTTTATGACAGTTTTTTGTGCGATTTTCACTTTCTAAGCTTCGGTGAGTGGAAAACAGGTATTATCTAAGTCGACTGATTGTTAGCTAGCGTGTTTTATTTCAATCATTATAATTTCATTTCATTCACCATTATGTCGCTGATATTTTTTATTGCTAATTGTTTGATTTGGAAATCATGTTTATGTCTTTTTGGCAGTCTGTAGTTAGTGCTATTCTTCCTTTGTAATTTCTCGAGTAGAGTTTTGACGAAGTGTCAGATTGTCTGTATATAATCTGGTTTTAAAGATAAATTGTTCTGCACTAATGTCGAGTATCGTTGTGATTATTGAAGCCATCTCCAAATCGGTGTACAAATCTGAATAAGAGTTTTTCACTTAAACTACGGTATAGAAACCAAGAATTTCTAAAAATTAATATAAAATTTACCTAAAGCTGACTCAAGTAATTGGAATCGTCTGAACGGAAAACTAACGGAAGATCGCTTTTCATAAGTTTACAAGTGATGGAAAAACGATAAAATATAAAGCACAAGATTTGAGTTTTGGTTATAAAATGGTTATATATTGGTTATATTTTGGTTATATATTAGCTTTATATTGGTTATGTATTGGTTATATATTGGCTATGTTTTGGTTATATATTGGTTATATTTGAAGTTCAAAATTTGTTTTATGATAAAGCGAATCGTAAGCACTAACTAATTCACTTTTGAATTTTTTGATGCTATTATATGTATATTTGTTTGCATTTTAAGTGTCGATATATTGCTTACTTATGCATATGCCAGTTGCAATTGTAATAAGCAACTAATGAAAATAACACCACCCATCCGCAACTAATTAGTTTACTGCGACAAAGTACTCTTTCCTCTGTGTGCACTCTCATCAAATCACACGGAAATTAGGTCAACGCTGCATAAATTATACAAACTGAGCAAAACGGATGTACAACAAATTTCAATATAAGGATTTACATGTGGAAACTCGACTGATAAGTATCCTAGGAGTATTACATCCATACCCATGTTTATTTGAAAATAGAAAATTCTGCATAGATTAGCTGCGAAATCGGTTTCTATTAACTAATATTATATTATATATGCATATGCACATGTTGAAATCTGTGTTGTCTCATTAACATATTGAATATACATATAAATATATACGATTTGCTATCACATATGGTTGGCTTATTATAGTTGGAAGCTAACAATATGACAATATGCTGAAAGCTCATTTAGTTAAGTGGGTCGTGTGTTTGTGTTCTGATTACAGATGCGGAAGAACGATATAAATATTAATTCGCTTGATATTTTGAAAACATAAATATGTATGAGAATATGTGTGTACTATATATAAAATTCTATGTCTAATCGTTTATAA